CCTCAAAAAAACTTCAAGATTTAAACCATTTAGCAACGATTTAGCTTCAAAGTTGAGGGTCCAGCACCCCGGAACCTCTGCCTACCTACTACCTAATTCCTTACGTTGTAGTGCGAAGAAGGATTAGCCGTGCAATTAGTGATAGGCTCTAAACGTACGGTGACAGGGTACTGGAGCCTCAAATTCAGTGTTAAGCAGTTGCAAAACAGTTTATTCCCTGAAGGTAAGATAATGCCAAGACACTCCTGTCCCCATAACAACTTAAATGAGCTTAAGATATGATGGGGTGAGAATGTGACTTTAAGCTGTGTACAAGGAAGCTATATAGGAAGTGTTTTAAACAATAAATATCAAAATAGTTGCCACAATGGCAAAATAATAATAATAATAATAGTCATCTTTTCAGGTATTCATAGGCTGTGAAGCAATTCACAAGCCTCATATTCATTTTAATTTTAAAAACTGTAAAATATTTAAACAAAAGAAAACTGCATTTGCACTGAGATTGGAATGTGAGATAGTTTATCAGTCTAAGAAAATCCAACACTGCTATCAGCAATAAACTGCTTCATGCACCACCCTAAATCTATGCAAATGAGTTGGTACACCTATAATTGGATGAACTTGTTTACCTGGTTGTATTGCATTATTTACATAAGAACACTAAGGAGGCACCAGACAGAGCATTCACTTGCAAAAAGGTGTATTCACTCATTGGCACCCTGTAAAGAAGTTTAAAAAAAAAAAAAAAGGATTGAAAAATGTAAAGTAGCTCATGTGAGTATTTCCTAAAAATGGATTCTTTATGAAAAACTCATATTGACTAAGGTCTCGATTTAATATTGTCGAATACGTTTTACAAATGATTTAATATTTTTTGATCAATTTTACAGCGATTTAATATTATAAAAAATAATAGAATTTTGCAATATTTTGATAGTTTTTTAATATATTTTTAATACATTTTGAAAAAAAATTATTTTAAAACTGTATCCAAAAATATAGAATCAATTGGAAAGCTTCAGCAACAATATTAAATTGAGGCCCAAGTTGGAATGTCACTGAAATTCCTCTACAATCAAAAGATGTACATGAGCAGATGGGACCACAGGTGTCTCATTGAGTCTCAAGCTGCACCTAGAGAAGGGGGCGTTTTGCTACCAAACCAAAAATAAATTACTGACCTGGGACAATTCGCACTAGGTAGGGCAGCAAAATTATATGGCCAACAGGCACCACCAGCACAGTACCAGCATGCCAAGGATGTTACTCTACAGTACTTTTTTGCTTATTAACTCTGTCTATATGCTCTGTCACTTTGGCATCAGGTGCTGTCTGTGCCAGTAATGACATTCTGTTATAACACCGCTTACTCCTAAGAGCACCTGGAGAATGATGGATCTTCCATAGACCCTCGCAGGGATGTTGCTAATTGGCATAAAGTCCAGAAGCGTCAGTCAAGGGGTACTTTTTAAGGCCTCTCTAATATGTATTGACCTAAGCACTTGCTAAATCCAGCCCTAAACTTTTCATCTTCAAGTGTTTTTTCAAAAAATTCAAATACCTTAAATCTGAAAGTGCTTCTTTAAACCAAAATAGCTAATTGAAAAAATATTCAGTGCAGGTTTTTCTCCCTTTGCTGGAATTTACAATAACCGAGAATACCCACCTTGTTGAATCTATGGAGTTTATTCACTAAACACTTAATTGCAATGGATTGCGAACCAAAATGCTAGGTTCAAACTAAAACAGCAATGCTGTGACTATTGCTCAATTGGAGAAATTCCTACAACAGCTATTTTGGCCAAATTTGTGGATAACACACATTTCCAAATGTGATAAACACATTCCACACACAATCACATAACAATGCACTTAATCTCGTTATATTTACTTTTCAGTCATTTACAGACAGATACCAGTTGTTCTTTAGAAAGTAAAAATGTTTTTGTTTTTTTACTGACGTAATGAAATTATATAGTTAAAAATGTACAACTGCTTATATATTTACACTGGTGGAAAAGAAAGGAGATAGCGCTACCCATTTTTTTAACATTGGATACACCAGCCATCAGGTGTAGATCCAGTGGGTGACATCAGGGCTAGTACATGCAGAGGGACACAAATGGATAAAGGCAGTATGAGGAAAAGGACGTATGTCGCAGAAGGGGAGGGATATGAGACAAAGATCAAAAGTGTGGGATGATTGGATGTAAAGATAGATAAATGAATATAGTGTGTTTAATGTTTAATAGGCGATGGGGAGAGAAATATAGTGCAGTCCCAAGTACCCTGCTATACACCATGTGAGGAAATGATAGAATGTATCCTTTACCTCATAAAGAATGTGACATGTGAGGAAAGTTAAAGGGACACTAAAGTCACCTGAACAACTTTAGCTTAATGAGGCAGTTTTGGTGTATAGAACATGCCCCTGCAGCCTCACTGCTCAATCCTCTGCCATTTAGGAGTTAAATCCCTTTGTTTATGAACCCTAGTCACATCTCCCTGCATGTGACTTGCACAGCCTTCCATAAACACTTCCTGTAAAGAGAGCCCTATTTAGGCTTTCTTTATTGCAAGTTCTGTTTAATTAAGATTTTCTTATCCCCTGCTATGTTAATAGCTTGCTAGACCCTGCAAGAGCCTCCTGTATGTGATTCAAGTTCAATTTAGAGATTGAGATACAATTATTTAAGGTAAATTACATCTGTCTGAAAGTGAAACCAGTTTAATTTTTTTCATGCAGGCTCAGTCAATCATAGCCAGGGGAGGTGTGGCTAGGGCTGCATAAACAGAAACAAAGTGATTTAACTCCTAAATGACAGTGAATTGAGCAGTGAAATTGCAGGGGAATGATCTATACACTAAAACTGCTTTATTTAGCTAAAGTAATTTAGGTGACTATAGTGTTCCTTTAATTGTACTGATATGGTGTAAGAGATTATTTTAGGACTATGAAGGTCCTCAGGATATCTTTCTATGCCATCACCCATCCCAGGGCCTCATTCTCCCCATTAGTTATCATTAACCGCCACCAACGGCACATTGACTAAGAGGGCATAAGGGAGCTTGAGGCTATCTCTTGATTATTAGGGGGGCCATGGGATCCCTGCAAATTTTTAGTATCTCTCACCCGCCGGACATCTTGTGCAGCTGCCTACCTACAATAACAGCACTGTAGAAATATATTCACAGATTGTAAAGGGATGCACAAAATCAGAAAAAGCGGGGAAAAATCCAAGATTTGCTAAGCTGCAAAATAGTTTACTTTTAGAATCTTACCAAATTGGCTTTTTAGACAAACATTTGCAGTCATGGGCAAGATTAATAGTTGTGCAACTTCTTGGCCTAACAATTGTAGTTTTGAACAAGTTACATTTTCTATGATTAACACTGTATTTTGTTATTATAATTTAATCTCTGTTTCTAGATCAGCTCTTTTGACATAACTTTGCAAATCCTAACACTAAAGGGTCTCTCTGCCCCTCCTAGTGGCAAGAAAAGGGTTAAATAACCCTTTTTTTCCCACATTTACCCGATTCTAGCTTTGAAGTCCCCCAGCGCTGAGTAAGGCTTAACCCCTGCAGATGGGGGGACCTAATGTGCATGTGTGGTGAGCACCACGTATGCATTTTGCCTTCACATTGCCTCAATGCTTTCCTATGGGGTTTTAGAAGTCGCTGGACGTCTTCATGCAAAGTGCGAGGACGTCCATCATCGTTTCACGGAGTAAAACTCCGGAAAAAGGCCAGGAAGCACGTCTCGAAATTAATAAAATAAAAGATTTACCTAAATTTTCCTAATGCCAAGGCTCCCTCGGCGCTGCTTACATCTTTGCCTCCTGCAATGCCATACAGGAGGTATGTCCTCCTTTTAGACGGTCTAATCTAATGGGGAACTGCTGCGCATGCGCATTAAGCACCGTACACGCATTACATTTAATACTTTCTTTTGAACTTTCTAAAAAAACTTAAAGGATAGGATCACTGCGCCCAGATTACGTCATTGAGATTGGTAGTTTTAGCATCCCTTAATGCCAAAACAGACAGAATGGAAAACTGCTCCAAGTCGGCTGCACTTTAATATTAGATACCCGACAATTCTCTCTTTGGTGAATAACCCACCATGTTAATTGTAGAAATGTATCAAAAATGATGTTAAATTATTATTATTATTACTATATTTTTATAGCGCCAACAAAGGACCACTAAGTCATCCAGACCACTTCATCTCAATAAAAATAACTGTTTTTGGTTTTGGTTAAGTATGTGCAATCCATATAAGTTCTCAGTTTTTGTGAATAAATCAATGTAATCAATACATGTGTGTATAGGGGTTGTCTGTAAACCATATATGAAAGACTTATTACTTTAATTTTTTTAAGAAATCCAAATACAGTGACCTCTATTTACATTTTTTTATTTTTAAGGACACAGGCAGAAACTCCCTAATTGTATAACTGTGTGGTGGTGAATGAACAACCACTGTGGTCTGTGTAAATATTTATTTTAAATAGGACGCTAAAATGTTTGGCTTCATGTTTATCTCTATATTTAAGGGTTAGTTTATTATCTTTATTATCTTTGTCACACACATGAAGCCCCCTCCCCACCCCCTTTCTTCAGGAGTCCTGAGGAGGAGCAGCGGGAGAGAGGGGGGGGCGGGGGAGTGACTACGTGACAGGCGGACTGATCTCCTGTCCCCCCCCCCCCACCACCTTTTGCCTTTCACTCTGAGCGCTGCGTCTTGTTGCCCTTGGAAACCGGGGGAGGGGCGGGAGCTGGAGGGAAGCGCGAGAGCAGGTAGCGCTGCGAGCGGATTGGTGAGACAGGAGGGAAGGGTCTCACGTTCCATGCGCGCGCGCGTCCTCCAACCGCCTTTGCCGTCAGTTCCCGCCTCTCTCCCTGCCTTGTGATTCCTTTCAGTTCGGGCGCCCGCGCTGTAAAGGTCCGTGACGTCAGGTGCCGAGGGCGTGTCCTGGGGGAGGGGAGGTGGTAGTCTCTCGTCGTCATCGCCGGGGTGGGCTGCAGTGTGAGGAGGAAGCCGTGCGGGAGAGGCCGGACGGAGCCCAGCTGCTCTCCAGCCGTCATACAGCGGGGGGAGGAATTTCTCGCCCCCAGCAGTCCTTCTCGGCAGGTAAGACAGATCAGATCTTATCGGCCGTAACTCCTTCCCCGCCTGGGCCCCCCGAGCCTCACACCGGGCCTCACAACATGGCGGCCGCCGCTGGGCCTCTGCCGACCGCGGCACCGACTGACGCACCCCGTATTGACCGCTCCAGGGCCGGCCATTACCCGCTAGTCCCGTGTTTACCCTCAGAGACCCGAATTACCCGGCCCTGATCGCTGGGGACCTTCCCGGGCTGGGGGTATGTGACCTTGTTTGTGAGGTGTTAATGGCCGGTGAGAGCTATCCGTGCTGCCGTGTGGTGCGGATACTGCGGGAAGAAACCCCCATTCATTAACCCGGGGAGGGAGACGGGGCAGACCGAATACGACGGGCTCCGTGCGGGGAGTCAAAGCTACGGACTGTCGGCAGCTAACCGCCAGCCGGGGGGAGAGTGAGGGATCCGGCAAAACACGGGGGATCCGGCAGGCCTGGCACTGCTCGCTATAGTAGTTATAACATGGCACTGCATGGCACCGCCCGCTATAGTTTATAACATGGCACTGCCGGGGGGGAACATGGCACTGCCGGGGGGTGCATGGCACTGCCGGGGTGCATGGCACTGCCTGGGCATGGCACTGCCCGCTATAGTAGTTATAACATGGCACTGCCAGGGGGGGGTGCATGGCACTGCCAGCTATAGTAGTTATAACATGGCACTGCCAGGGGGGGGTGCATGGCACTGCCAGCTATAGTAGTTATAACATGGGGGGGTGCATGGCACGGCCAGAATCTAGTCTGGGATAGATGTGTGATGGGAATGGTAGTCCAATTCTTCAATGGGTTACATGGCGTGGTTTGGATAATGGGAATTGTAGTCATGCACTAGACAGCCGGCTGATGTCTTGCTCTCAGGTGGTTTGTAGCATTAGGTTGTTGTTTTTTTTTTTTCAGTTGTACAGCGCTGCAGTAAATGTTGGCTATATATATATATAAAAACACCATATCCCATTGATGTATGTGCACATGTAATTCCTCCACCTTTTTTGGGGGCTGATTGAAGTTTCATTTTAATGTTGTGATGATATTTCCATGTTTTGGTGTTATCCATTAAAAATGGTGTATTTTACATTTTTAGGCTTATTTTGTTTTATGTCTTGCAATGTTAATGTCCTTCAAGCTCCTCTGTAGTGAATGATAGTGGTTTTTTTTTACACGTTGTATTATTTCCCTGGTTAACCAATGCATGGCACTCTTCTCTCCGCAGCCAGTTAATGTCATCCCTGCTACTCCCCCTTGGTGTCTGTAGCCCTTGTTTGGATGGATGGGGGGTGGAGTAGGATAAGTGATGGCTCCATCATGTGATCTGTATACCCAGGGAGGCTGATGCAAGCGGCCTGGGTGTATGAGATGGGGAGGATTGCAGGGACCATCCCTTGATGCTGGGTTAGATGTGCAGTGAAGGACTGGCATCTCATGTCCTCCTACGGGCAGTCATTAGCCTGAAATCAACCCTCTCCTCCCATTCCCGATGTTGGTGGGGGAGGGGCTGTGAGCAGACATTTTTATTTTTTTCAGTCATGCTGGGTTCATGTGAGGTGAACTGCTGCTCCAAAGAGGGAGGAGGTGCAGGAAAGGATGATGTGCATGTAGTGATTGGGGTGCACATTGTGTGAAATTGAAGATGTTGTTAAAGTGCTGGTTTGGGGGTGCTGTGTAAAGCTTGTACTTATGTTTTATTGTTACATACTAGTATTTTAATGCTTTATTCATGACTAGTACTGCCACATTTAAAAATGGTTGGGAATAAAAAAAAACAATAGTATGAACGTATAATCTACTTTACTGCTGTGTGCTTTCAGCTTAAACATCCCTTCAAATCCTAAACCAACTGTTTGATGTTACTGCGTGTATCTGGTGCATTGGATACTGAGAAACATCAACTTTTTCAACACTATACTTTATTTTTAAAATCCATAGAATACAAGAATTGGTTTCAGATACAGTGATTGCAGAGATAAGTTGGTAACACTGAATTTTTAGTAACAGTGGGAGATGAGTAGATGTATATCCATAGATAAATATTTTTAAATGTTATCATTTTAATAAAATTTTGCATGAGGGCACATGCTCTCATATGGTATTTTGCAAATGACCAAACTATCCTACACATGCTAGTGCTGTGGAAGTAAGTGGGTTTTATACTTGCATATGTTGCACTATTCCCCTTAATGTTTCAGAAACCTTTTTTAATGAAAAATTGTAACCTTAAGAAAAGTTACTCCAAACATCATCACTAGAGCTTGCTGTAGTGGTTGATGCTAGGAATACCCTGGAGCTGTTGGTTTGACACCTACCTTGGAACTGCCTGATGTGGTCTGGTTGTCTTGACCCTATCATATTTTTTTTTTTATTATTTTGACATTTTTTATTAAGACATGTGGATACATAACAATTGTGTGTGTACCTTTTTAATACCTTCTTCATGACTAAACATAGGTTGATGTGTTTTGGTTACATTTGAATTAGACATTTCAGTATTGCTTGTTGTCGTTGGGTACATAAGTAATGCATATTACATGCCTCAGGCATTTTGTGGGGAGGTTAGTATTGAAGGGGGGTTATTGAAAAGAAATGGAAAGAGGAGGTGGTTTATCAGGGGAATGGAGAAGGGATGACCCTAGATTTTCAAGGTGGTTTGGCGGGATGCCCTGCATACGTAGGGGAGGATGGCTAGCAAGTATCTTCCGTCTGAGTTCCTGGTTGTCTGTGTGCTAGGACCGGGTCTCTTCAGCGCCAACCACGGATGTCGTTCTTTCCATCTATCAGCTATTATGTTGTGGGGTTATCAGTGTGGTTGTTGTATGTGTCCCATATATGTTTTACCTTTGCTACTGTAGGTCTTGCGCCAAATTGGTGTTGGTGCATGGCTTCATATGTCCAATTGAGTGCAATTTGGTTCCCTAGGTGTGTATGTGACTGTGTTTCTTTAGACTTCCAGTGTCTCGCTATTAGGATATGTACTGATGTAAGCGTATGGTACACTAATGTCCGGTGAGTTTTGGACATCCTCTCAGGGAATATGTACAACAGGCACAGTGCAGGATTTTTTTCTACCTGGTGGCAGAGCATATCCGACATGATTTTGGAGGGCTTGTGTCCAGAGAGGAGCCAGTGTGGGACATGTCCACCGTATGTGAATTATCGTGCCCACTTCCCTCTCACAACGCCAACACATGTTCGTGGAGGCAGGCCAAATTTTACGTATTTCTTCCGGTACTAAGTACCAACGGTATAGTATTTTCCGTTGTATTTCTAAGTGTTGGGCGCACAATGTCATTCCTTTGTGTGCAGTGTAAGCTCTTTTCCACTGGTCTGGGCTCAACTCTGTGCCCAGATCTGCATGCCAAGCTTTTTTTTTTTTTTTGTAGTGCTCAAGTGTTAATGGTTGGCTGTGTAGGATCAAGTGATAGCATGTGGAGAGAGATTTTATGTTGGGCTTATTTGATAGGCAAATATTTCCAAACTTTGAGGTTGGTGCGTTTAACACTCTCGGGGTTAGTGGGCGGGTTGTTTGTTAGTAAGGATTTAACTTGGAGGTAAGGGAATAGTAATTTCGTGGGCAAATCAAATTGTTCCTGTAGGCATGGGAAGGTTTTGAGGTATTCCCCTTGGTATAGTACATGGGTGACGCCCTTTTCAGTCCACGGCTTATAGTTAAAAGTGGGGATTATCAAACTTATTGATTGCAGTGGAGCTGCCATCGGAATCTTTGGGTGGTTAACCAATGTTTTCCTCATCCCATCCGATGTGTCTACAAGCAACAGAGTAGTGGGGAGGCCTGGAAATGGTTTTGGTCTCCCCAAAAGATTGGGCGGATGTGGTCCATGTTAAGCCAAAAGGCTTCTATTCCTGCCCATTGTGGGATATAATGGGAGTTGTGTGCTGCTAGCATAGTGCTCAATAATGCTGCTTTGTGGTATAGATACAGGTTTGGGATACCCAGACCACCGTCTGCAACCGGCCTGTGTAGGATTTTGGCGCCTACCCGGCTTTTTTTGTGTTGCCATGTGAATTTCATGAGTAATGAGGTGACCGACTTGAGGTAAGTGTTTGGTAGAGGTATTTGTAGTGTTCTGAAGAGGTATAATAGTTTTGGTAGCAATGACATTTTGAATATTGCTATGCGCCCCAGCCATGAGAGGAATTTTTCCTCCCATGATTTCAGGGTATTGTCGAAGTCCTTTAGGAGTCTTGCATAGTTTGTGTGGAAGAGTCCTGCAGGTTTTTTTGTGAGTCTGATTCCTAGGTATGTTAAGTAGTCTGACCTCCAATCTAGAAGAAATGCCTCCTTTAGTCTGTTTCTTGCCTCTTGTCACTCCTATCGTTAGTGCCTGTGTTTTGGAGACATTTAATTTTATAGTAAGAGTGGTGGCCGAAGAGATCCATTTATCGCATTAAATTGGGCATTGTTATGAACGGTTGTGTTAAAGTGAGAAGAATGTCATCTGCAAATATGTTTAGTTTGAATTCTTTAGCGCCTAGGGGAATACCATGGATGTTCGGGTCTGATCTAATTTTGGATGCCAGTGGCTCCAGGGCCAGTACATAGAGCAGAGGAGAGAGGGCATCCCTGTATGGAGCCATTAGTAATGTTTATTGTCCGTGAGGGGAATCCTGCATAGAGGACCTGTGCAGAGGGCGTGTTGTATAGGGCGTCTACTGCTGCAATGAATTGCGTGGGAAAACCGAATCTGTGGAGTACTCTATTGATCCTATCATTTTAGCCCTGTGAGAAACCTGAAGTTTTTTTTTTTTTTCCTTAAAGGATCACTATAGGGTCAGGAACACAAACCTGTATTCCTGACTTAATAATAATAATAATAATAATAATAATAATAATATTTCCAATAGTGTTAAAACCACCATCTAGCCCCCCTGGGCCTCTCATGCCTCCATAAATATAGCAAAATCTTACTGTATTCAAGTCTGAAGCTGTAGATTTGCATGCTGTTTGCCTCAGAAAAACAAGCTGTCTGCTGATATCAGCAGAAGTGGTAGCCTGATCCAATCACAGTGCTTCCCCATAGGATTGGCTGAGACTGACAAAGAGGCAGATCAGGGGCAGAGCCAGCATGATTCAAACACAGCCCTGGCCAATCAGCATCTCCTCATAGAGATGAATTCAATCAATGCATCTCTATGAGGAAAGTTCAGTGTCTGCATGCAGATGGAGGAGACACTGAAGATTGGATGCATTTTAGGCAGCCATGTCCCAGGAAGGATCTCTAACAGCCATCTAAGGAGTGTGTACAGTTAAGTTATTCCTAGCCTTTAATGTACACACCCTTTTTATTTTTTATTTTTTTGTGAAATGACAGTGTACACAGCAAAAAAGCCTGAAGGTAATGATTCTACTTGCACCTGGTGACTATAGTGTCTCTTTTTAAGGTTAACACCACCTCTATTGGCTGTCTCTCAGACAGCCACTAGATGGAGCTACCTGCTAGTAGCCAAGTAAAAATATAATGTTAAAGTATAATACACTTTACATGAGGACATTTGTCATCTACATTCGATGCAGGGTGCTTTTCATTGAGTGCTCCTGCATTGAAGCCTATTACTGGAGAAGCCCCATAAAACTGCATTGATTTTACTTCGGAGTGTACATATTAGGTCCATAGTAATCCTCTTGTAATGCGCCTGGCGGTCCTAGGAGGTATTATCGGCAATATCGGTATCTGAATTGGCCGATACCGATATTGCCGAAAATACCGAATATCGGCCGATTATATCGGCAAAACCGATAATCGGTCGATCCCTATAATAAAGAAACCCGTTACACATTTTAAAACTGCATTTTACTCACATTTTAGCCCTCGCAGTTATCAGTCTTTGTAAGGCTGGCATGCCTCTCTAGCTGAGACAATCAATTTTGATGGCTAGAGCGCATGCACAGCCTGTGCAGCACCAGGTCCACAGTAATCCTCTATGAGGAGCATTGGTATGGCCATGTCTCCTCCTTGCCATCACTGGGGGAGTAGAGCCAATGAACCTCACTGGTGGGAAAATGCAAGTAGCTCTTTTCTGGAATTTTTTTTAATTTTTTTTTCTCCAACCATTTAGTAGCTAAAATAAAGCATTTTTAAATTGTGGGGAGATATGAAAAAGCTGGCTTTCATTAGTTGCAGAACTAGTTGCTACAGATACTGTAAAACTGTGTTTAGTGGTGTTTTTTTTTTTCTTCTCAAAAACAGGCTTTGTCCAATCAGACATCTCATGAAAAAAGGCTTGTGGGCAAATCGTGTGTGTGTGTCAGGTCACTCATATAGTTATGTATAATCCATATTCCTTAAAAGGACACTCCAGGCAACAATGCAACTTAAATGTATATGATTTGTTTTGTCCTCAATATTCTGTTCTCTTTTTTTTTCCCTGTTTAAATCTTTATAGTGTTTTTTTCCATTAAAACCAAAAAAAGTTTTACAAATTGCTGCACCATAAGCCCTCCTCTTTAGCCACATTCCCTTACTCAAGAAAGGCTTCCTTTTCAAAAATATGCTAACAGCATGATGAGCTGAATCATCTGAACTACCAAGCAGTCTGCATTAGAAAAGGAGGGCACCCAGGAAGACATGAGTATTGGAAAGCACTGAGGAATAAGTTGGCACTCTATAAATACCTATAATATCACTACCTGTTTGTGGTTTCTCTGACTGCAGCAAGGTTGTGAATTAAAAGCCGCTCTTGGGACATAGTTATGTGCATACATTTGATAAAGAAGTATTTCTAGCATGGTGGATGTAGCAGACATATGATGAAATAGTCTGCAAAAACTTTGTGTTTTGTGTGTGTGTGTGTGTGCGCAAAAACATTAAAACTTGTTAAACAATAAAGCATATTGGGATGTTAGTGTGCATGCACGTCAAAACGTCAGCAGAGTTTCACTCTATTTCAGCAGAAGTGCCTTTAGTGGCTGTCAGTGACAGCCACTAGATGCATTTAAACTCTGCAATGTAAATATTGCCTGGGTGCCTTTTTAGTGGTCCTTTTTTAAGTGTTAAAAAAAAAGAAAAAAAAGTGGCACTTCCTAAGTGGAAAGCTCTCTGCCCCACTCTGGGTAATTTTTTACGTAACCACAATGGTGGTCAAAATGTTTAAAACTGATTTAACCCCTTAAGGACACATGACATGTCATGATTCCCTTTTATTCCAGAAGTTTGGTCCTTTAAAGAGTTAAATGAAATTTTATTTAGAAACTTTCTATTTGGAAATGCAATGTAATACCTCTTACATAGAGATGCAGTTTTGAAGGCTGCAGCATTGCTTCATTTTTTGTTAGTCAGTTTTAAATCTATGCTTCAGCATTTCTTATGTTGTGGGATTCTAATTAGATTATCGATGGCTCTCTCCTTGGACATAGAATTTAGAGGTCATCCATGAGCTCCAGTGGGCAGACAGTTGTCCTAATTCAATGTAGTTTGGTTTTGTGGCTATATTAATAGACCCTTCCAATGTTTGTCTTTATTCTCTGGTATATGTGAATTTTTAGATCTAGGTAACAAGTCTTTTGGTGTTAATGGGAACTATAGCTTTGGTAATAAATGTTTGTATTCCTACCGCTATAGTCTTTAATCACTGTTTTTATTCAGTTCCCATCCCTAATAAGGTGCATTTTTTTTTTTTTTTTCCTCTTAGCGCCAAGACTCACTCGGTGCATCCACACACTCCTCTCACAATGTCGTCTGGCATAGTGTCTATTCTTTGTCTTTGTCCAATGCCCTTTGGTAGCATTGAGACAAGCAGCAAGAGCATTGGGCTCGTCCAGTCTGGTTTTCATAGGGAAGCATTGAATCCAGTGCTTCCCAATGAGTAGCATTTGATGTCCTCATGATTGGTCAGATTCAGTGTTTGTTTTAGAAGCACCTCCGGCACTCCACATGTTGATGCTTTGCCTTTATTATGGCTTTAATAGCATTATGGGAGATTTAGTCCACATGTGGAGTGGGTAAGGTTGCCTACCCTTCCACTAGAGTAATTCACAGAGGATACCGCACTCACACTTATGAATCCTAGTTCTTATCAGAGCCTGGGTTGACAAAACCGTTTAGTAGATAAAATACATTAGATCCAGGCACTTAGGATTGTGTAGGCTGAAACGTTGCAGTTTTTGTCCCAATAAACCTGCCTTTTTGCAGCAATCCTGAGTGCCTGGACCTAATTTATTTAACCCCTACACTAGAGGCATATTTGGTCCTGCAGTGTAAGCATTGCCATATCTACTGAACGACAATTTTTTTTAAAATTTTTTTAATTTTTTTATATTGCATGGCAAAAACAAAGGGCCTCTGCTCCCAGACCACTTAAGGGGAAGTGGCTTAGGTGCCTTCTAGTGATCCTTTAAATTTCAAACCAGTCTGACAGCCTTGTGAAGAGATCTCTTCTGGCATTGTAAAGTAGAAACGGCAATGCTTTCATTGCAGGGTTAAAAAGGCCTCTAATGCCTGTCTTTCTGATAGCCGCTTCCACTTCAGTAACTTTCAGACTTGGTTATTTAATCAAATGCTTCTCATAAAGCATTCACAGCCTGTGCAGCACCAGTCAAATGCTTTATGAGAAGCATTTGATTAAATAACCAAGTCTGAAAGTTACTCAAGTGGAAGCGGCTATCAGAAAGACCGGCATTAGAGGCCTTTTTAACCCTGCAATGAAAGCATTGCCGTTTATACTTTACAATGCCAGAAGAGATCTCTTCACAAGGCTGTCAGACTGGTTTGAAATTTAAAGGATCACTAGAAGGCACCTAAGCCACTTCCCCTTAAGTGGTCTGGGAGCAGAGGCCCTTTGTTTTTGCCATGCAATATAAAATTTTTTTTTTTAAAATTGTCGTTCAGTAGATATGGCAATGCTTACACTGCAGGATCAAATATGCCTCTAGTGTAGGGGTTAAATAAATTGGTTCCAGGCACTCAGGATTGCTGCAAAAAGGTAGGTTTATTGGGACAAAAACTGCAACGTTTCAGCCTACACAATCCTGAGTGCCTGGATCTAATGTATTTTATCTACTAAACGGTTTTGTCACCCAGGCTCTGATAAGAACTAGGATTCATAAGTGTGAGTGTGGTATCCTCTGTTTGTGAATTACTCTAGTGGAAGGGTAGGCAACCTTATCCACTCCACATGTGGACTAAATCTCCCATAATGCTATTAAAGCCATAATAAAGGCAAAGCATCAACATGTGGAGTGCTGGAGGTGCTTCTAAAGCAACCACTTAATATGACCAATCATGAGGACATCAAATGCTACTCATAGGGAAGCACTGGATTCAATGCTTCCCTATGAAAACCAGACTGGACGAGCCCAATGCTCTTGCTGCTTGTCTCAATGCTACCAAAGGGCATTGGACGAAGACAAAGAATAGACACTATGCCAGACGACATTGTGGGAGGAGTGTGGATGCACAGAGTGAGTCTTGGCGCTAAGAGGGAAAAAAAGCAAAAAAAAAAATATGCACCTTATTAGGGATGGGAACTGAATAAAAACAGTGATTTAAAAACTATAGCGGTAGGAATACAAACATTTATTACCAAAGCTATAGTTCCCATTAACACCAAAAGACTTGTTACCTAGATCTAAAAATTCACATATACCAGAGAATAAAGACAAACATTGGAAGGGTCTATTAATATAGCCACAAAACCAAACTACATTGAATTAGGACAACTGTCTGCCCACTGCAGCTCATGGATGACCTCTAAATTCTATGTCCAAGTAGAGAGCCATCGATAATCTAATTAGAATCCCACAAGCATAGATTTAAAACTGACTAACAAAAAATGAAGCAATGCTGCAGCCTTCAAAACTGCATCTCTATGTAAGAGGTATTACATTGCATTTCCAAATAGAAAGTTTTTAAATAAAATTTCATTTAACTCTTTAAAGGACCAAACTTCTGGAATAAAAGGGAATCATGACATGTCGTGTTCTTAAGGGGTTAAATCAGTTTTAAACATTTTGACCACCATTGTGGTTACGTAAAAAATTACCCAGAGTGGGGCAGAGAGCTTTCCACTTAGGAAGTGCCACTTTTTTTTCTTTTTTTTAACACTTAAAAAAGGACCACTAAAAAGGCACCCAGGCAATATTTACATTGCAGAGTTTAAATGCATCTAGTGGCTGTCACTGACAGCCACTAAAGGCACTTCTGCTGAAATAGAGTGAAACTCTGCTGACGTTTTGATGTGCATGCACACTAACATCCCAATATGCTTTATTGTTTAACAAGTTTTAATGTTTTTGCGCACACACACACACACACACACACACACACACACACACACACACACACAAAACACAAAGTTTTTGAAGACTATTTCATCATATGTCTGCCACATCCACCATGCTAGAAATACTTCTTTATCAAATGTATGCACATAACTATGTCCCAAGAGCGGCTTTTAATTCACAACCTTGCTGCAGTCAGAGAAACCACAAACAGGTAGTGATATTATTGGTATTTATAGAGCGCCAACTTATTCCGCAGTGCTTTCCAATACTCATGTCTTCCTGGATGCCCTCCTTTTCTAATGCAGACTGCTTGGTAGTTCAGATGATTCAGCTCATCATGCTGTTAGCATATTTTTGAAAAGGAAGCCTTTCTTGAGTAAGGGAATGTGGCTAAAGAGGAGGGCTTATGGTGCAGCAATTTGTAAAACTTTTTTTGGTTTTAATGGAAAAAAACACTATAAAGATTTAAACAGGAAAAAAAAAGAGAACAGAATATTGAGGACAAAACAAATCATATACATTTAAGTTGCATTGTTGCCTGGAGTGTCCTTTTAAGGAATATGGATTATACATAACTATATGAGTGACCTGACACACACACACGATTTGCCCACAAGCCTTTTTTCATGAGATGTCTGATTGGACAAGGCCTGTTTTTGAGAAGAAAAAAAAAAAACACCACTAAACAGTTTTACAGTATCTGTAGCAACTAGTTCTGCAACTAATGAAAGCAAGCTTTTTCATATCTCCCCACAATTTAAAAATGCTTTATTTTAGCTACTAAATGGTTGGAGAAAAAAAAAAAATTCCAGAAAAGAGCTACTTGCATTTTCCCACCAGTGAGGTTCATTGGCTATACTCCCCCAGTGATGGCAAGGAGGAGGCATGGTCATACCAATGCTCCTCATAGAGGATTACTGTGGACCTGGTGCTGCACAGGCTGTGCATGCGCTCTAGCCATCAAAATTGATTGTCTCAGCTAGAGAGGCATGCCAGCCTTACAAAGACTGATAACTGCGAGGGCTAAAATGTGAGTAAAATGCAGTTTTAAAATGTGTAACGGGTTTCTTTATTATAGGGATCGACCGATTATCGGTTTTGCCGATATAATCGGCCGATATTCGGTATTTTCGGCAATATCGGTATCTGCCAATTCAGATACCGATATTGCAGATAATACCTTCTAGGACCGCCAGGCTCATTACAAGCGCTTACTCACCTCCCAGCAGCTCCTCCAGCTCCCCAGTGTAACTCTCGCGAGACCCGTGGCCGTGAGAGCGTTGCCATGGATCACCATGGCAACGCTCCGCAACACGCTGGCCGCGAGAGTTGCACTGAGGAGCTGCTGGGAGGTGAGTAAGCACTTGATGCCCGCTCAGCCAATGCCACTGGACCACCAGGGACTGTCATATTCCCCCCCTCCCTGGCCAGGCAACAAGCAGGGAGGGGGGACAACAAACAAAAAATAATTAAATCTAAAATAATAATAATTTAATTAAAAAAATGCCCCTTCACACACACACTCCATTATATACACACACTACACAAACACACTGTGTATATAATGCAGTGTGTATACACTGCATTATATACACACAAACACACTGTATATAATGCAGTGTGTTTGTGTAGTGTGTATATAATGCTGTGTTTGTATAGTGTGTGTGTATACAATGCACACAAATACACACACTGCATTATATACACACAAACACTGAATTATATACACACTACACAAACACACTGTATATAATGCAGTGTTTGTGTAGTGTTTATATAATGCACACTACACACACACACTCTGCATTATATAAACACACTACACAAATACACACTACACAAAAACACACACTTTGCATTTAGTATATACAGCATTCACTTTATGCACACTACCCACACACTACACAAACACTCTGCTTTCATTATATACACACTACACTAATACACACTGCATCCACTACACACACTCGACAAATACACACTGCATCCACTACACAAACACACATTGCATCCTCAACACACACTACCCTAACACACAATGCATCCACTACACACACTACACAAACACACACATCTCCCCTGTCTAAACACACTGCATCCACTACATGTGGCATGTATATTTTGTGCATTTACCTTTTTATAAATAGTTTTTATTTTCCAAAATGGTAAATGTACAGAATATCGGCAAATTCTATTGGCCTGAAAGTTCAGAGTATCGGTATCTGCTCTAAAAAGAAATCAATATCGGTCGATCCCTACTTTATTGCCAGTAAAACAAAGCTGTTTTCCTGGCACTATAGGTCCCTATAGTGCCTAACTCCCGTGGCTCTCAAGGGGTTGAAACCCCTTCAGTCACTTACCTGAATCCAGTGCCGATGTCACTCAGCGCTGGGTCAGGCTCTGTGGAGCGTGAGAATGTACATTGTCGGATACCACATCAAAGGTCCGTTTCAAACCAGGAAGCCCTTTAGTGGCTGTCTGGTAGACAACCACTAGAGGTGGAGTTAACCCTGGATAGTAATTATTGCAGTTTCTCAATAACTGCAATAATTACTATTGCAGGGTTAAGAGACATTGCACCCAGACGAGTTCAATTAGCTGAAGTGGTCTGGGTGCCTACAGTGTCCCTTTTAAAATTGCAGGCTCCATCTCACTGCTATTAATTGAAAAACCTCAAAAAACTACACAAACATAGTTGAAATGTTCATGTTGCAAAATAAGCAGTCACCAATTAAATGTTTCAATTAATATTTCTCCACTTTGCAAAACACTTTAATTTCCTCCTTTTTTTTTTTTTTTTTTTTTAACCCACCTATGCTCAACGCTTTTTCTGTGCTAGCCAGTGTTATGATGCATATTTTTGTGATTTGGTCTGAATGCGAAACTTTTTGACTAAGGTTTTGAAGAAAATGTATACTAATATTCCATATTGGAAAGTCCTAATTCTTTCCAAAACTTCTACTTTTTCACCTCCATGTATACAGTTTATGTAAGGTTAAAACTGTACCTATTCCTGAATGATGCTCAACAAAGGGGCAGTTGGTCTGCATTCGGTTTACAAATGCATTCTTGTTTATCTTCATTCACAAGTGAGACTGTTTTCTGGGTGAGGTTGGTTATTGTTGAGGTCCATTTTGTGTTTAATACCTGCAGCAAGTTGTGCCTACATAATCTTTATAGTTCGTAAGTAGATCTGAATGTGTGGTTTGTTGGCAACAGATCATGTGATGGGTAGAATATATTAACTTATATCCAACCACTATCCCATTAGTAACTCCCCATTCATAGAAAAACTACATACTTTAATTTTTATAAATGGGGTTCTACTGATTTCCTTAAACAGTCAGCCGACTGCTTTCGATAATGAGTGTTACCCCATGCTTCCTGAAAGTTAATTTCGGAAGACAGATGCTGCTGAGGGAATTGGAGATCTGGCGCTGGAGGAAACCTTTGAGAATGGTACAGGTAAGAAAGCACACAGGGGGGCCTCCTGGCACCATACAAACTTGGTTTCAATTAAGTAATGGTGCCAAGTGTTCACACATACAGACTCCAGGCACCATGATCACTTAATCACTGAAATGATTATAGTGCTAGGAGAAACCTTTTAACTTGTGCAGTTCTGTGCATACAGAACTACAGGAGAAAATGCTGTGCAGATGTATAGCTATTCTGTCAGATGCCATGGTTGCGCACACATTGCCAACGGTACTACAAAGTCTATGAATAAAGGAAGTGCAGTGGAGGTAAGTCTGTCATGTTGTTGTTCTTTTTTGTTTGCGTTTTTTTTCCTCATTTGCTTTACTTGTCGTGTTAAACTCCGAACTTGCGAGTGAAGGCATAAGGAACTCTCACTTCTTTAGAAGTGGCAGTTTCAATTATGACTTGCTCCTCAAAAGCAATATGTTTTCAGAAGAAATAAATAATTGGAGACAGTTGTAGGCTTTTGAACAAAGCAAATGTTTCTTTGAAGCTATGACTCTGCAATTCGTATATATCACACTATTTACCATTCTATCATTATTTTGGGTGTCCTGTACAGCTCAAAATAGAACTCACTACACAGAAATCTGTATGTCACTATTTGTATGAAGAGGCTCAATGCTTGGTATTATTGTAGATTTTCATAAATCACTGATAACGGCATCATACTTGTAGAGATGGCATGTAAAAATGACAGTGGTTTCTCTTTTCCCTCTGTAGGTTCTGCCTTAAAGGTAATCCGTCTATCAATGTGAAGTTATGAAGCAAGACACATCTCCATGTGTGACCTATTAAGATGCTTTTGTATAGCTCTGCCTGATGAATAGCAGGTCTCTTGAAGACTAATGTCAACAAGTATAAATGGTCTTCCTGGATTGTAAGCGTTTAACCAGATTCCTAGAATGAAGATCCCCTTCACGTGTTAAACATCGTACCAAAATGCTTCATGTTTTAGGCATGCCAACCACCTAGATTCATGCGCCCTGTCTGTACAGTTGTGGATGGTTTACCATCAGGAGGAACAGTAAGCTCATTTCCTGGCCCGTTTTCTGTATCTGAAATGTCGATTCTTCGCGCCTTAGGCCCAGTCCAGACATGGCTGGGGCAAGAGTTGGAGAAATGTGGTATCGATGCAATGATATACACAAGATATGTTTTGAGTCTTCTGCTTCATGACAGCTACGACTACGACCTTCAGGAACAGGTACACACATCTTCTAGCGATTAATATTAATTGTTGCTGGCATCCATGTGTATAGTGGTGTTGGTTTAAAAAAAAAAAAAAAAAAAAATACCTTTCAGTGTTTTACCTACTTTATCTCAACCGAAGCCATGCTGGGAAATGTAGTTCAGAAACCTCTTTATATCAAGATTATCCATTACATATTTGATGTCTACATCTGTTACTGATGTTCTATAATATATTACATTCTTTTATTTTATTTTTTTTTGTAACAGGAAAATGACATCTTTGTGGGCTGGGAGAAAGGAGTTTGCAAGAAGTCAGGAAAAGGCAAGAAAAAGAACTCTGACCTCTCTGTGGAAGAAATGAAGAAAAAGGCTGCAGTCCAATGTTTGCTCTCAGCTTCTGAGGAAGTAAGTTGGTTTTAAGGAAGTTTTTAGTATACCTCACTACTTGACAGATCTCAGGAAATGTAAATAACCAATTGAAGTGTTGCTTATTGTGCCAGATAGTATAAATTTTTTAACCCCATAACGATGTTATGGTGTTCTATGCTGTTCTACATAAAGCTGGCATTAAACTTTAGTGTGAGCAGGGTTAAATCACTGCTCATGCCAGGGAGTCCCAGGTATCATTGGATACCTGGAGCTCCCCTCTGTGGCCATTTTTAGTACCCCAGACTTTTTGATGAGCGGTTTTTAAAAAGGAATTTAGATGCCTACTTGGAGATCGCGATATGAGCAGGGTTAAATCACACCACTAATACCAGGTGTCAGTGGATACTTGGGGCGTCTGTAAGTCAGCTGGGGCCATTTTTAGTGCTCCAGACTTGCTGATAAGCTCTGTGAAGCACTGTAATTCAGCATTACACAGAACCCTTAAATTCAATTTGGGGAATCGTAGCGGAGCGATCGTACTCGGCCCCATTTTTTTTTTTCTGGGGGTGCAGACAGTTTGGTTAGACCCTGGCAGGTTCTTCTAGATGATTGGGACCGGAGCTGGCCTTTGCCAGCTGCCCAGCACCAATCTTTATATCCACGACTCTGACATATTACTTTAATTCCAAAAGCTGTCCGTAGTAGTAAAACCCACTTCTAATTTCAGAATTGATATTAGCAGTAAGTTACCTTAAGGTTGGGGTAAGGTAAAGGTTAATGTTTTTTTAGGGTTAAGATTGTGTATGGTTTAGGGTAGGCAATTCAGTTGGTTCGTGTATGGTTTATATAGCGTTTGTGTTGGGGGTGTTGGTATAGCGTTAACATTGACTACAAACAATTTAGATTCTAAACTTGGGCATTTAACAGTCAGAACTGATATATTAATCTATTCTTGTTAGCATTTTGGTCTGGTCTAACAAAGCTATAGCTCAAATTAAAGTTTTTGGTTCAGAATGTTGACCATTGGCTCTGTAAGGGGTTAACTTCCTTTTTTTTTTTTGCGGGTTGTTTGTTTTGTTGTTTGTAAAAGGTTTGACAGCTTTCTTTGCTAGGAGAAGCTACTTGCGGATCTTTAGTTCAGTCCTTCTTGAAATGTATCACAGTACAATAAATACATGCTGTTTAAAAAAAAAAAAAAAAAAATCCTTCCATTATATAATCTATCTTTAATACACTATGGCAAGGTTAGGCAACTTTTGGCACTCCAGATGTTGTGGACTACATCTCCTTTAATGCTGTTACTGCCATAATGCTGGCAAAGTATCATAACATCGGGAGTGCTGAAGGTTGCCTAACACTGCACAATGGCTTGTGCTCTCATGAATACAGAGCAAAACGTGAAACTGTAACAGTCCAGTATTTTGATATTGCACCTTTGCTCCAGTGGTGGATGCAGATAAAACATAAACATTGGAATTTTTTTACATAAATGCTAGTTTTAAGGTTCAGAATTTCCACTTGCTTTCTTCCCCATTGGTAAGTTTACATTTTAAGCTCTGGGATGTAAGGGCTAGGGTTTGTTGGCAAAGCTTTCTGCTCCTGTGATCTGTACTTCGTGTTAGGCAGCCACAAGGAGCTTGGGTTCCTCATCTGTTATAAGTCTCTCCTGGCTGCAGACTGGAAACCACAAGAGAATTCTACTGAATACTTTAACACGTGAAGGAAATTTTGGCAAATGTGAACATGACGTTGGGACCTGCGTGTCATGTCTAATTACATGACCTTATTTGCCTACATATGCTCATGGGTTCCTTTTTATTAAAAGCTTTGATTAAAAAAAAAAAAATGGACATTTCATGTGCTAGATGTTGCATATAAAATTTACCTTAATTTGTGTAGGTGTGTAATAGCCAAGGATAGTAAATGGCTCTAAGCACTAATTTGTTAATATAGTGTTCAGTATATGACTCCCTTCAGTTTGAAAAGAACTTGCTTGAACCCCTTGTCCTGATATTTGCTGTGGTGTTCTTTGAGAAATGTTTGTTTAGAATAGTTGTAAACAAAATGTTATGCTGTAAGCATATCTATACCAGTGATCTCAAAATTTCATTTGTATGCGATGTATGTGCTAGATATGACTTGGTCCATTATCCTTAGTACTGTGCCAATCCATTTTCCTGGCACTGCAGGTCCCCTCTCCTTCCCACCCCTCCCCCCAACCCCGGTTGAAGGGGTGAAAACCCCTTCAGTAATTTACCAGAGGCAGCGACTATGTCCCACGTCGCTGCTTCTTCCTCCACCGCCGCTCCTCCCAGTGATTGAGTCGGCCGGTGGGCGAGACTGATCCCGCCCACCGGTCGGGGAGACCTAATGCCCATGTGCGGCAATGCCGCACATGCGCATTAGAGCTCCCCATAGGAAAGCATTGAAAATGCTTTTCAATGCTTTCCTATGGGGAAATGAGCGATGCTGGAGGTCCTCAGACAGCTAAGTGCCCTCTAGTGGCTGTCTAGTAGACAGCCAGTAGTCTAGTAGACAGCCACTAGAAGTGGAGTTAACCCTGCAAGGTAATTATAACAGGATATATATATATATATATATATATATATATATATATATATATATATATTTATATATATATATATATATTAATATTGCAATAATAATTACACTTGCAAGGTTAAGGGTAGTGGTAGTTGGCACCCAGACCACTCCAATGGGAAGATGTGGTCTGGGTGCCTGGAGTGTCCCTTATATAGATTTCCCGTGATGGTTACTTGGACAAACGGTAAACTGTCCAGATGTTGCCAATACTGGCTTATACATGTATATCTTACCCTAACACCGTGCTTGATTGCATTGATAATCTTTTAACAGTCCTAATATAAGCAAACTGGAAACCTGTTTTTTTTTTTTTTTCTCTTCTCAAAATACCTGAGCCACACTTTGCACACTTACCACAAGTGAACTTTCATTTGCCAAGGTCTAGCAACTAGTGTGAATTATGTAATAAAATATATGTAATTATAACATAAATCAGGCACTCTTGCTTCCCATTGTGCGAACTCCATCCATACACCTTTTTTAGATTTGTGATACATTTTGTGATGCAATAGGTGTCAGGGTGAGTCACGCACAGTTACCTCGTGCCTGAACAGCTGACTCCACACAACAGCTGCCTAATCCTTCCTTCTCTTTGACAGCAGACATTCCAGGAAAGCAGTCTGTCTCATCACATTGTGTGTGTGTGTGTGTGGTTTGGATTTTTTCCTTTTTTTTTTTTTTTTTATACACGTTACAAATATCTGACATTCAAACATAGCAGTGGGTAGCTACTGTTTGCTTACGACTAGAAATCAGATGCTGCCCTTGTTCACATTGTTTGTAAGGAGTAAAGTATGGTAGTGGAACCATAATTAAATATAAAAATTCAGGTTGTTTAAAATATTTTAAACAGGCAGCCAAATATATAAGTCAAATTCATTAGACCTGGTTACACATCAAAATGGGTAAACACTTATTCATGGCTTTTAATGAAGCTGAGATGTGGAATAGAGATAGGGAAGACACAATTTAATTATTTTAAGTGATTAAAGATTGCTGAATAGCAATTGCCACAAACACTGAATATATTAACATTTCACTTACAGATTAACTAAATAGTAAAAAGAACAAACTCCAATATATGACCGTTTTATATTTTGTTTACTAGTGCACTGTCATTTTCCTAATGTTGGTAGGTGCATCTTATCTTTTTGTGGAAAGATAATAAGAGGAGTATTCGGTTTATAACTTTGGTATGGTAACTGCTCCATAATTGATGGGGGGGGGGGGGCTGCAGTAATCTGTCAGCGATCTGTATATGACTGACTTTCTGCACTCTGTCTCTTGATGACCAACACCCCTCTCCAACACGATCTTCTTCCCTACCACTCGGTGACATAGGATCAAATAGCATGATCAATGTTGGCAGTTGCTAGGAGTGTGACACAAATTGTTTCTCTCTAAAATCTCACTACTTCTGTCATAGTAAGAAACTAGGGAAGCTAAAGATCAATGTTTATCAGCCATATGATTTTATTACTGTGTTATACTGCTGAGCAGTTCAGATTTTTGTATTGGGGTGTGGGGAAGCAAAGACTTTGTTAGACTTAGAAATAGTCTCTCGTGTATATCAGTCTATTGTGTATAATGGTTTATTACGGTGTTTTTTTTTATTTTTATACATCTTGTATGCCTTGTTGCATGGTGTCTTTGCAAAGACAGTGCTTTTGCTTAGTCATTTTAACCTTTATATATAGCTACACATGCTGGTGAGTCACACCTGACCTGCATAATGAAGTAGATTTCAATCTTTTACCATTCCACCATAATAGAATAAAGTGTGGCTTAGAAAAATACTTAACCCCTTAAGGACAGAGCTTCAGAAGCTTGTCTTTCACTTAATGACAACAGGATTTTTTGCTGTTTACGTTCAACTGCAATTTGCATTTTACTAATTTATTGCACCGACAAACATTATATACCTTTTTATTTTTTTTTCAAAGGATAGAAAGGGCTTTAAGTTGATGTATTATATATGCTTATTTATTATAAAAAAAAATACAGAAAAATGAAAACATGGGGTTTTTTGTTTTGTTTTTGCAATAATAATGTGTGCACAATTAGTGCAGGTTAAGGAAAGTAATTAAAAATAAATTCTTTTAGTTATGATTTACAGAATATATAATGTGTCTGGGATTTTAAGGTTTTTTTTTTTTTTTTTTTTGGTAGTTACAGGTCACAAAGCACAAGGAGTAAAATAAACTTTTAATGTGGAGCGATTTTAGAATTATGTTTGTCTTGTAAGCTTAATAGCCATAAAAGAAAACAAAATTGCCACACAAGTATATATTTATATAAAGTAGACATCACAGGCTATTTACCTAGGGTTGTTTTGACACTTTCTACGTACAATACTGTGATCTGTATTTTGATCTCTGGCAGGAAGGCGTTAATTTTTATTTGGACTGGCTAAAGGGGGGTGTGGGTTTTTTTTTTTTGTTTTTTTTTTTTCTTAAACGTTATTAAAAAAAATTTTTTACTTAATTTTGAACTTTTTAAAGCTTACCGGTATTTTAAAACTTTTTTTTAATGTTAACCCCTAGTTAGCCTAACACCAAATCCCCCAATTCCTCACTAACTTCCACCCACCCCAGCTAGCTAAATTTTATAATTTTAAAATACTTAAATTAATCAAATTTAACCCATGAGGGTTAAAAATAAAGAATTAACCCTTTAAGGGGTTAAAAATATCAGATCATAGTAAAATGTAATCCCTGCCAATTGATCACTGTAGTCAGTGATCAATTGGCAGGGAACGGGTTAATTTTTTTTAATTAAAATGGGTAAAGGGGGGGTGGGATTTTAAATTAACTTTATTTTTTTTTCCTAACAGGGACAAGATCAGTGATCCATCTCCCTGCACTTCACACAGAACCAGGAAGTGCAGGGAGGTGGAAGGTAAGTATACTAAGCACATGTGCTCGCTCTGACACCCTGTCAGAGCGAGCGCCGGTGCTCAGGCTGCCTGATTGGGTGCTCCCAGTCTGCCTCTAATACAGAGGCAGACCGGAGCACCATTAACGCCGCCATCTGGGGTTAAATTTACCGCGTAACGGACAAGGTCCGTCACTCGTCGTTAAGGGTTTCCCCTGAGTGACGGACCTTGTCCGTCACTCGTTATTAAGGGGTTAACTTTATAACTTTGTTCATGCTTAAATATGTTAATATTTAGCATGAAAAGTGCATTGCTTGTTCAATTAAATTTTAATTCATTACGGATGGTACTATGGTTTATATTTTTTTGCACTTTATTTTGTGATTTTTGAACATGGCATGTTATCCTATTTATGTACTAAATAAGGACTTGTCAACTAACTTGTAGAGTTAGGGACTTAATAGTGTTTGTAGGGAAAATGGTGTTTGATTAGGGTTGTACTTTGTCAAATCATTTTTGATCATGGTACCACTTTTGGGGTGGCTTGAAGCTCAGTAAAAACCACTACTTCAGATTATAGTATTAATGCTTAAAGCCTTTTTGGAACATTGGCTTTAACTGGATCTTGGTGTTAAAAGGTGTTGGCATGCCTCGCTTTCTTTTCTTTGGAGCAACCTATCAAAATCTGACTTTCGGCTTGTATTGTACTGCCTGGTATACATTTGGAAACTCTTTTTTTTTTTATTAATGGAACAAAAGCACAATAACCACTGCTCTGTGCCTTTAGTTATGGTGGCAGTAGTACCCTGACATCCAATATAAGTTGTCAGACCCTTTGGTTTGACTTCTTAGCTGGTGTCAAAGTCTGCACCTTTTAAAAAGAAATGTGTGTGTTTTTGTGGGGGGTTTTTATTTTTATTTATAAATGAAGTATTACTAAAATAAATGTTAGAAATCTATTTTTCTTGCAGATGTGTCTTAATAGGCTTTTTTAGACTTTATTCATTACATACATTTTACCTGAATCGAAAGCTAAATTACAGAATTAGGCCACTCTAACAAAATTATCACAGCTTGGATTTCTGAGTGTAGTTTTGCAGTGCAGTTTCCTGTTCAAAGTATTTCCTTTTAACTTGTAAGTGCAGCGCCAAAAAATTATTTTACATGCAAAAATTTGCTTACCCATGAAACATCAATATGCAGGTCTTGATGGAATTTAACATGAATGAGAAAACAAAACACTAGTGCAGATGGTATTGAACAAAATGGAAATATGCAGACAAATATGTGGCTACACTCACAATATTTAGAGCCTGGATGATAAGGCTCAATAACGCAAGTGTGCTTTTGTATTTTTGATTTTTTTTCAAGTTTCTTTTTCCTTACACTTTGCAGTTTTGTGTGGGTTTTCTTATTTTGTGTTTTATGAAACCTAATCTTGGAGAAATTCACTTTTTTTTTTCTTTTTTTTTTTCTAGAGCACTGGAATTGAAACATTAGTGGAGGAACTTTGCTCTAAACTGAAAGATCTCCAGAGTAGCCAAGAAGAACAGCTTTCCATAAATAAAGGTAACATTTTTGTTAGAATATTTTATTGTAGTAAATGTGCTTATAAAACACGTTAATGTAGCACTTCTGTTTGTGATTTTAGATTTTTAATTACTTGTGGCAGTTGCCTCAAGCTATTTGACCTTACACTCAGTGTAGGTGACCAGTATACAACGGACTGCAAATTAAATTGTTTTGCAAGTATTTTAATTTTGCATGATGCTTGCGTATTCAATAATACAGGGAACTGCACAGAAATGTGTCCAGGTTCTCCAATAAAGTGTGTTTTTATAAAAAAAAAAAAAGTGTAGGTGTCCAGGTTTGTGATGACAGACAGGAACCGTTCTGGGGATTTGTCTTTGTATCCTGACTCACACCATTTAGAAGGTACCTTGAGTAAGGATGCTACATGCAAGTGTTCTCTGCTATGCCAGCTTTAAGAGGGAGAAAATGACTTGAGTAATATAAAATGCACAGGTAAAATATGTAATGTTCTTAACTTTACAGAGGAGAAGAGCAACAAGGACCTTGATCAATCTGGATCTCCCGAAGCTGTATCCCCTGCAGGGAAGGATCAGATAGAAATGTAAGTAATTTTTCTCCTTTCCTAAGCTGCTCTGATTTTATACTTAAATATTTAAAACTTGCATTCAAGCACTTAGGTCCCCTTTGAACAGCTTACCGGCAAAACGTGCGTCGGGGCTCACTGTCGGATATCCTCCGCTTCTTACATTGATTTCCATTAAGGTGGTGGTTTTTTTTTTTTTTTTGTTAATCTGTTTATTTCGAGTTTTATCAAGCCAGTGGAGCATATTATGGGCACGCAGGCCCAACTCAGCAGAATTGCATAAAATAGTGTGATTTCCATTAAGGTTGCTGACATTCTGACATACCTCCTATGGAATTAGGCTGTTAGAAATCTTGGCTCGGGTCTCCTGCACGTTGTAATAGATTTAGACCGATTACATTTAGTATTCTTTTATTATTGCTGGAGGCTCTGTTATTATTCAGGCAGTTAGACTAGTTATTTGATTTGCCATGTGCCCTTGAAGGCACAGATTGGCTATCTTTTCATTCTATACTAGTCTCTCTGTTATGCTAGGAAGTTAGACTAGTTATTGTATTGATAGGTGCCCTTGAAAGCAGTTATTTTCTACTAGTGCTTTCTAGCTCTGTTTTATTTTTTTATTTTTATTTTTAAACACTCTTAGTTCAGTAACTACCTTCTATTTAGGTAGCACGATTAGACTTAACTCTCTCTAGTTAAGACTTTGTGTATATTGCTGCAGCCGTTATTGGGACCGAATACACACATTCCTTTCTCTTGTATCTCAAACAGCCATATAGGTGATGTTTACCTTTCACTTGAGATTGATACAACTCTCAGGTTGTTGCTAATTTTTTGTCTGCTTTGGATATTGATTCCATTTTGCTCTTCATGTGTAATAACAATTTAGACATCTAATTGCAACAGTATCTTTTCTACTGAGATTTCTTAGCTTGGGCTCTCAAGAGTTTATAAGCCTATACTCATTGCTAAGTGCATCCTCAATATATAGGTCTCTTATATGTGATTACTGACTACTATTTTACTCACGTTCCCTCACATTATTTTTATTCTCTAGTTTGTTTGTGTGTACCTACAACTATTATTCATTATGTTTTATGATCTATCTTTAGCCTAGGACAATGTATTTTTGTTTACATTGAATTCATGCATGCTTCAACTCAGTATCTTTTCAAAGTTTAGTGGAACTGCAGCTGGAGGATAGTCTACATATAACATAAAACTATGCAGCACATGAACATATGGGATAAATATACCAGGATGGAGAGGCTCAGGATGGAGCTTTGAGAAATATGAATGTGTTTAGAGCTTGTCCAGTTTTCCTAAATAGCTGGTTGCATAATAGCAGAAATAGATGGTGTTGGTTACACTTGCTATTTCCATTGCCAGTTTCTCTCCCCCCTCCCCCCTGGTTATCAGAATTGTGTATAGCTGTGTCAATGGCATTCTACTTAAAGCTGTATTCAGATTTGATACCTTATTTACTTAACTGTTATGAGACAGGCCTACTGGATAAAATCTTAAATTTGAATTTGTACCAATGTGCTATAATTCTTCTCTCTCTAGGTACTATGCTGCTTTTCCACCTCTCTCAGAGAAGCCAGTTTGCCTGCAAGAAATAAGGACTGTGTGGAACAAGTCCAAAGTTTGTTCTTCCAGTTCTTCCTCCTCTTCCACTGCCCCACAAACAAGCACGGAAACTCCATCCCCCAAGGATTGCAATAGTGAAAGTGAAACAATCATTACCAGCATGAACAATGGAGCTCCTAACACTGTACAGGGAAAGAACCAGCAACGGAAAGGAAAAATCGAGAAGGAGAACAAGTTAAGAAATGGCGCAAATGACGATAAAACTGCCTTATGCAAAAGTGTCAGGCACAAATGTAATGGAAAGACTCGTGGTAGATCCTGGTCATCTGGGTCAAGTGAAGGAGGGTCAAGTTCAAGTGGTAATCTGGGTGAAACAAAAATGAGGCTCATCAAAGTAAGACACAAAATCCGTGAAGTTAGAAATAAAAAGGGGAAAACCGGGCAAAGAATTAAAACAAAAAGCGGAGAGAAGAAAAATGTTGCAAGCAGCAGTAGCGTAGGTTCTGTCAAACCGCTCTGTAAAAGGGTGAAAAGACATGTTAAAGAATGTGTGTGTGAAAATGAAGGAAATTGCTTCTCAACAGAAAGGAAAAAGGATACAGAATTTAGAGAGGAGCCTTTGTGGTATACTGAACCAATCACAGAATACTTTGTTCCTCTGAATAGTAGAAGTAAACTAGAGACAACTTATCGGAAAAGACAGGATGACTTGTATAACACTTCAAAGGAAATTGAAGAGCTGTCTGAATTTGTACATGGCCTACATTTAAATAACCACAATATTCATGAAACATACCTCTCAGCGGGTACTTTTATTGAGGGTCACTTTGTAGAAATGCCTGCAGTTATAAACAAGACGAGTGACCACACAGGGACCTCGAACTGTTCTTTTCAAGAGGACAATTATTTGGATGATGTTCATCCTCTCGAACTCACACACTTCTACGAAGTGGAAATTGATCAATCCATGTTGGATCCTGGTGCCTCAGATAGAATTCAAGGTGAAAGTCGTATCTTAAATATGATCCGACAGAAAAATAAAGAGACGTGTGACTTGGAGGCAGAATCTTGCAGAGTGTTAAATGAAGAGAGTTTGCAAGGGGAAAGTGCAATATGGAGAGAATCAACCAGTTCTATTGGTACTGAAGGCTTTTTCTTGCAAGACCATGATAATTTGGCTCAATTTTGGGACTCCAGTTCACCATCAAGCTCTGCTGATGCAGATGGGGAGAGTTTGGGAGGGGACTCCCCAGATATATTTTCCCCTTTTTTAGACAGCACAAAGCTTAGTACACACACGCATGCAGGCAATCAAGATATATTTTTTGATGGAGACAACTCATATTTTTCAGTATTTGAAGTGCAATGTGGAAATTCTGTCTTTTCGTTGCCCATGGAAAAGATGTTGAATGAAATGGGTAAACCAGAGTCTTGTTCCAGCACGAATGGCTTTGGAAAAACACGGTCTCGGTTACTGATATGGACCAAAAATAGTGCCTTTGATGAAAATGAACAGTGTTCGAATATTTCAACCAGAACCTGCAGTCCATGGTCACACTCAGAAGAAGCTAGGTCAGATACTGAAAATTGTAACAATCCTTTAGAAGAGTACAGCTATGTGTGTGCAGATAACAATTATGTAGTCCCAAGAGTGACCTTAAGTTTCCAAGGTGAAGACTTGGGTGTAGAATCTTTTCTTCAAAATGCAATTTCAGGAGAGGAGTCTGTTGTGGTCACCACCAAGAAATCAAAGTTGGAGTCTCTGTGTGGCATAAAGCTAGAGAAAGAACATCCAGAAATGTCTAATATTACCGAGGTTGGTAATCCATGTATCCAGCCTACAGATGAGTACAGCTCAGGGGTCATTAAAGACATTTGGGTAAATTTGGCTGATGGCAATCTGGAAAAAATAGAGGATCAGTTATTACCAGGAGACATAAATGTGTTTAGTTGTCAAGATGCAGAAGAAACTTTCAAAGAGCCCAATAAGGCTGTTCAACGATCAGAATATCACCTATGGGAAGGTCAGAATGAGCTTCTGGAAAAAAGGGCCTTCCTCCGAAGCGATTCTTCAAATATTGATGCTGGTGACTATACCACACCATCTAAACCCTGGGAGGGTAACCATGCAAAGGAAAATTCTTTTCTACTTGGAGGTGTTTATGGGGAGTTTAAAACCTTTAATGGTGAAGATGAATGGGCTGTTGTCCCACCTAGCATGGCCAAAGGAAGCTTGCTGGAATGTGCTACTACAGATGTTGTTACAATAGCAGGCACTGATGTTTTTATGACTCCAGGAAATAGCTTTGCTCCAGGTCACAGGCACTTTTGGAAGCCGTTTGTATCATTTGAAGAAAACCACCCACCAAAAAGTGGAGATAAAGGCTTAAACAAAGGCTTTTCTTTCATACTACATGAGAATTTGCTTGGGGCGTGTAATAATTTTCAGGTAGAGGAGCCAGGGATGGGGTATACTTTCTCTTCTTTTGATTTGAGCAATCGTTTTTCACAAGTTCTTCATGTTGAATGCTCATTTGAACCTGGTGGGATTTGTGCTGGAAGCCCTGGTTTGAAACCAAAATCATTATGTCTGGATGCAGATAGTGATATTGGCCATCCAAGAGTTTGTGGTGTTGAGAGAACACAGTATAGATCAATCAGAATTTCTCCACGGACTCACTTTCGCCCAATATCTGCATCTGAGTTGTCTCCTGGAGGAGGAAGTGAGTCTGACTTTGAATCCGAAAAGGATGAGGTGGCTGTGCCTACTAATAGTGAAGAAGTGTTTGATGATCCCCAGAATGACCTACAGCCACTAGAAGATGATGCAGAGAATGAGGGGCATTTTTATGGAAAGGCTGAGTTGGAATCTGGCAAGTTCCTGCCCAAGCTACAGAAGTCTGGAATGGAGAAAAGTGCACAGACTTCATTAGATTGTCAAGAAGAATCCTGTTGTGTGTTGTCGGTAGATAAGGAAGACAACCTAGACTTCAGGATTATAGAGTCTTTTGAAAGGGAGGTGATGGAGGACTCTAAAACGAACTGCAAAATGCTGGAGTCTGAGTCAAAAATGGACGAGAGCGCCAGCTATCAAAGAGCGTTGAATGCTGTGTCTGCTGATCCGGAGGGACAAGTATGTATGAAACACTTTGTCATAGTATTTTCTTTTTTTGTTTTTGTTTATATTTATTATTATTGCCATTCATATAGCGCCAACAGATTCCGTAGCGCTTTACAATATTATGAGAGGGGATTTAACCATAAATAGGACAATTACAAATAAACTTACAGGAACAATAGGTTGAAGAGAACCCTGCTCAATCGAGCTTACATTCTATAGGAGGTAGGGTGTAAAACACATTAGGACAGGAATTTGCAATCAAATAAGGTGGGCTGCCCTTTAGGAGAGGGCAAGAGACAGGTATGTGAGGTAGGGGTTAGTCTTGGAGGCCATAAGCTTTCCTAAAGAGATGGGTTTTAAGGCACTTCTTAAAAGATGCAAGACTAGGGGAGAGTCTGATGGCGGGAGGCAGGCTATTCCATAGGAAGGGAGCCGCCCGCGAGAAGTCCTGCAAGCGCGAGTTGGCCGTACGGGTGCGGACAACGGACAGGAGGTGGTCACGGGCAGAGCGGAGAGACCGAGAAGGGACATACCTATTGATTTGTGAGGAGATATAAGAGGGGCTAGAGTTGTTCAGTGCTTTATAGGTGTGAGTTAGTGCCTTGAATTGACTCCTATAGCACACAGGAAGCCAATGTAAGGACTGGCAGAGGGGTGAGGAGGAAAGACAAGGAGCTCAGTTTTTGAGACTGAGTTTCAGAAAGCGGGAGGACATCCAGTCAGAGATGGAAGAAAGGCAAGCAGTGACACGTTGCAGGACAGCAGGGGAGAGGTCTGGGGAGGAGAGAGATAGCTGGGTGTCATCAGCGTACAGGTGGTAGTGGAATCCAAATGAGGTAATAAGTTTGCCAAGAGAGGCAGTATAAAGAGAAAATAGAAGGGGACCAAGGACAGAGCCTTGGGGGACTCCAACCGAGACAGGGCGAGGGATGGAGGTATCATTAGAAAAAGAGACACTGAGCGTTGGGAGAGATAAGAGGAAAACCATGAGAGGACAGAGTCACAGAGACCGAGTGATTGAAGAGTTTGAAGAAGGAGAGCATGATCAACGGTGTCAAAGGCCGCTGAGAGGTCAAGAAGAATTAGTATGGAGTAGTGGCCTTTGGATTTAGCTGCGATTAGGTCGTTAGTAACTTTGATAAGGGCAGTCTCTGTAGAGTGGAGAGGGCGGAAGCCAGATTGAAGGGGGTCAAGGAGAGAGTTGGAATTGAGGAAATGAGACACACGGGTAAAGACGAGTTTTTCCAGAAGCTTTGAGGAAAAAGGGAGCAGGGATATGGGACGGTAGTTAGAGGGGGTGGACGGGTCGAGGGATGGTTTTTTTTAGTATAGGTACTACAGTGGCATGTTTAAGGTCAGCAGGGACGATGCCAGAAGAGAGCGAGCAGTTGAAGATGTGTGTTAGAGAAGGCACGAGACAAGTGGAGAGAGATCTGATAAGGTGAGATGGGACAGGATCGAGCGGGCAAGTGGTGGGGCGAGAGGAGCAAAGAAGTTCAGCCGCCACCTCTTGGTCAGTGGCTGGGGAGAATGTCTGAAGGGTAGGAAAGGCATGATCTATGTGTGATTGAGAAACAGAAAGGCAAGGAGGGAAGAATTATTTCCTTAGCTGTTCAATTTTGTCAGTAAAGTAACATGCAAAGTTATCAGCAGTAAGGTTGGTTTGGAGGGTGGCCACAGCGGGTTGAAGAAGAGAATTAAAGGTGTCAAAGAGACACCTGGGGTTGCGGGAACATGAACTAATGAGAGAGGAAAAATAGGACTGTTTGGCAAGGGCAAGGGCTGCACTGTATGAACACAATATGAATCTATAATGGAGAAAGTCTGACTGGGTGCAAGACTTCCTCCAGGTGCGTTCAGCACAACGGGAGCATTTTTGCAGGTAGCGCGTTGATTTAGTATGCCATGGTTGGGGGCGGGTCCTCCTTGAGGTGCTTGTTTGGAGTGGTGCTGCAGTGTTCAAGGCAGATGTAAGAGTAGAGTTATATATGGAGATGGCCAGTGAAGGACAGGAGAGGCAAGGGATGGACAGCAGTTGTGAATCAATGTCAGCTGACAACTGTTGGAGATCAAGAGAATTAAGGTCCCTCCTGAGTTGAGGCTTGTTAGGCGGAGGTTGTTGGGTGAGGGGGTACGTGAGAGCAAACGATAAGAGGTGGTGATCAGAGAGTGGATACAGAGTGTTGCAGATATTAGATACAGTACATGTGTAAGTGAAGATTAGGTCAAGGGTATTGCCAGCTACATGGGTGGGAGAATTTGCCCACTGTGATAGCGCGAGGGAGGAAGTAATTGAAAGTAGTTTATTGGCTGCAGATGTCAAAGGTGGATTTATAGGAATATTGAAGTCCCCGAGAATTAAGGATGGAATGTTAGAA